ATCCTGCAGCACAGCTGGGAATCCTATTCTTCCTGTAGGTCTCAGCTTGCCCAAAGACACCTTACGTTGTCTTGGATACCACGGTTTCTGCTTCCATTCAAAATCCTGCCCAGAGCCGTTTGCTGCCTTTGGAACTTGCTCTCGGCGTCAGAAAACCTGCTGCATAGGTATGTGTGGAAACCCTGCCCAGACAGGCAACGTTTGAAGAGGAGATTGCTAAAGTCAGCAAAACACTCTCTTGCTCTGTCTCCAAATGACCTAAACCACCTTCTTCCATCTACAAAGATGGATCTAGTTGTTCTTCCATTAGTGGCAGTGTGGAGCACAGGAACAGAATTGACATTTTGGGCTGGCCAAATACCATGTAGCCCAATGTCCTGTCTCCAACAGGTGCCCAGGAAAAGAAAACAAAAATTGTGGCTCACACAGAGTCCTCTTTCCTTGATACATCTTTCTATAATCATCTGTTGGGGGACTGCTGGCTGCATCCGCACTGCTACATTTAATAGGTGCCAGCTGACCTCTTCCCTCTAAATTTATCTAATCCTTTCTGGACTTGCTTATTTTTGGAGCTCCTCAATAGTCAAAGTCAATCATTAAGTCAATATATGCTTTATAGCCAACTGTGCTAATCAGACCTAAGGTTCATCTGACCCAGCATCCTCTATCTGTCTGTGGACAGAAGTGGATGTTTCTATACAGTTACTCTCTGTGTGTAAAATGAATATTAATGAACACCACAGACATATAATTACACTTCCTTATATATTCTCCTGGCTTTCATGAATTTACAGCTCAGGACTTAGGCTGAGAGAGCTGGGACTGTTCAGCCTGGAGAAGAGCAGCCTGAGAGGGGATCTGATCAATGTCTATAAATATCTGAAATGTGGGGGCCTAATGGATGGGGCCGGGCTCTTTTTGGTGGTGCCCAGTGACAGGACAAGGGGCAATTGGCACAAACTGGAACAGTGGAAGCTCCAGACAAATTTAAGGAAAAACTTCTGTGTAACTTCTAGATCTAAGCATCTTTGTGTTTAAAAGTCCTTACTGGATTTCCCCCCTTAGATTAAAAATTCCTTCTCTTTGTTTTAAAACATCTTCCCTCATAATTTCCTTCAGTGCCACCTACTTTTGTACTGCAAATGAAATGTAGCCATTCTGCATCCACCTTCTTCATACCTCTACATTATCCCTCCTTCAGCTGTTTCTTTTCCAAGTTGATGGATCACACAAATTCCTCTTTTTACAGAAGTGCTCTGATGACCCCCATAGTTCTTCTTTCTGTCCTTGTTTTTGGAGACACAGTAACTAGAACTTCATGACATTTTCCATGTATGAGTTGATTCAGATGGTGATGCAATGTTTTCTATTTTGACTTCAATCCTTTTCATTGCAGACACGACATCAAACTTCCATACTTGTCAAGATGAGGGGGGTCATTGTGTACCTCCAGAAATCGAATGTCTGCAAGAACAAGTGGGCCTTTGCCCTCACAGCGAATGGAAGTGCTGCACAGAAGTGTAATAAAGACCTCAGAAAACCACAGAAATGCATGGATGAGAAAACAAACAAGTTCTCTTCCAAGTGGTGTAGAGAAGTTGTCTGGTTTTCTCAACATGTGAAGTGTATAAGTAACTAGAGGTGACATGTTTCTTTATATAGCAAAGGCAATAAATACTCAATAAACAGATATAACAGTCATATATGTATGGAAAGAGGCAGAATGTCTCTCTGTTACACCCACACACAGAAACTTTGCTGTAACATCCTTAGAAACCACATCTCCTCATAATCCAAACCTCACCTTCCTCTTTTCTGCCTTCCTTCCTTCCTTCCTTCCTTCCTTCCTTCCTTCCTTCCTTCCTTCCTTCCTTCCCTCCTTCCTTCCTTCCTTCCTTCCTTCCTTCCTTCCTTCCTTCCTTCCTAATAGAAGGGAAAGACATCTTTTCCTTCTATTAAAGTGTTAGAAACAAGAACTGTCCAACTGGCATGGTCAGGCCATGTCTACACTATTCAACTCCCATTCTCCAAAGCACCATGCCAGTCAACTGCTCTTCCCCTCCCCTCACTATTTCTATCAATAAATTGTACCCACTTGGGCACAGGTACCACCTATGGGAAGTCTTCATGTGTGACTGGGCAAATCTATCTAGAATGGTTTATCTGAAACTATTCCATGGAGTGGGTGCTTCCCTCTGTGGTAAGTTTGAATTTATTAACTGTGGAAGTTTCATTCAAAATGTAGATAAAAAAGTGTTTGCTTGCCAGTGTCACCTCCATGTGCTCAGCATCACTGCTGGCTTTCTAATTTATCCAGTTGAAGGCTGAGTACCTGGACATCTTTTTAGAGGAAAATGAGAAGCAGTGGCATTTATCTCCCAGTTTCCTAAAAATGACCCCCAGAGCACAGGCTGTGGTACCTTCCTTGGATGGGAGGATTTCAGATCCTTTCCACACAGGACAGAAAGCCCCTTGCAGCAGCAAACCTGTATCATCCTGTTTCTCAATAGCTGAGATACCCTTTCCTCTGACCTGAACTGATGCAAACAGGTTGTTCATGTCCTCATCACACACTTCAGAAATGTCATTCTCTAAATCAGTGTGTTAACCATCATCCTACTCATCCTAGGCTGTTCTTCTGGTCTACACAGAGGAACAGATCAACTGGCAACGTCATCACACTCATCCCTCACTGACCAAAGAATCACAGAACAATTTGGGTTGGCAGGGACCTTATAAGTTAATCTTTTGATTAGCTTTTAAAGGTCATCTAGTCCAACCTCCCTGCAGTGACCAGGGACATCTTCAACTAGATCAGGTTGCTCAGATCCTCATCCAACCTGACCTTGAATGTTTCCAGGGATGGGGTTTCTACCACCTCTCTAGGAAGCCTGTGCCAGTGTTTCACCACCCTCATTGTAAGAAATTTCTTCCTTCTATCAAGTCTAAATCTTCCCTTTTCTAGTTTAAATCCATCACCCCTTGTCCTATTGCTAAAGGCCCTGCTAAAAACTTTGTCACCATCAAAGAGTGACCTCCCTCTTAGTCAGCCAGCATGTAGACAGATGAAATGACCTTGGTCTAACATATTTTCCCTCCATTCTAAAGATGTGTAGAATGATATTGACCTCTGCTAATGGGCAAACTTTATTTCTGTAGCAGCATCACCTCTCCATGTGACAGTCTAGGTAACCAACCAAGAGCTTAACAGGGATTAAGAACTGGAGATGAATGCTCTTCGAGTGAGATCTCCAACCAGTTGTTCAAATTAATTTAATTACTTTTCTCCTAGGAATATTCATTCTGCAAGTAATTCTTTGTACCCTTTTAATATCTCTGAGGGTGCTTTCTGCCATGTCTATTGCTGGTAGTTCAAGGTGTATTTTATGTAGGTGTTCCCCAAGTTTGTGTCACAAATCAGGCAGGTGTGCATGGCTTGCATCTGGAAGGAGCAAAACCCTTCCTGAAGCCATGTTTTTTTACCTAAGATAGAACACTAAAGGGGAAGAAAGATTTAGAAATTATTTGAGAGGTTTTTTGAGCATTTTGGCTTTGACTATTTTCTGCTTTTCATATTTTTTTGGTAGAGCAGAGGGAGGGCAGTTTATGTAACTACAAACAGGGGAAAAAAAATCTTAAGGGAGGAAAATAACCCCATAAATATATAAGCATTATGTAGTAGATGCAAGCCCAGGCTTATGGTCTCCCTACACCAGTTGATCTGCATTATTTTGGGAGTTTTTAATCTCAACAACTCTTCCTGGAGGAGTCTCAAAAGGATAAGTAGGAACAGACATGGAAAAAGAAGCAATGCTGCAGATGGCTTATCTGCTTTAGGAGTGAGTAGGAGAAGCCAATTTTCTTTAATTTCATAAGAAACTGAGGGGTTTTTTTGAGAAAACTGTGACAGTGACTATGTCTGTAGGAAGCTGCTGTCCCTGGATTTCTGCCTCACTCCAATGCCAGACGTCATGGGGGAGTCATCAGAGGGAAACATCTGCTTGCAGGGCTACCTCTCTGTTATAGTCTTCTTGATGAGCCTGATCTTGTTTACCAGCATCATGTTGTTATGCTTGGATGCTTTACAGGATTGAGGGTAATTAAGCTTTTTTATTGAAAGAAACAGCTAATAAAGAAGTGAAGTACAGAGGGAGTTTGCAGGTGAGAAGCTGCTCTCAGGTCACCCCACCATTTCACTGTGGTTCTGATGGTTGAATGACACAAGCAGGGTGAGGTCTGTACACAAAGACAACTGGAAAAGTTGGAGTGATTTGAGCACACAAGCCTTTATCCAGACCTGAAACAAAAGTGACTCTTTCAAAGCTTGATGCAAATTGAGAAAAATACCTTGTTGATACATCCTTGATGGTCTGTGGAAAGCAGTGAGTTTAATGAGCCAGGAGCCAACTCTCCCCTGATTCAGACATTCAGATATCCAGATGTTCCTCAACACACACCACGCCGGACATGAACACTGCCTACTTCTCCCCATGAGTTATGTGGCTTTTCCAGGGCAGGAGGATTTAGGTGATATTTATTTAATTAATAGTGGTGGCTCTGAGTGGCCTGCTGAGCTGTTTACTGGTCATGCCTCCAATCAGAATAGCTGGTCCAGCAGCCTCAGGAGCAATTGCTGTTACGGGGGGAGATGAGATCACCACCCGTTGTCAACAGGCACTAAAATACTGCAAAGATAAAGAGAGATTCAGAGTTGGCAAAGGAGTCAGTCGTTGGAGAGTCATCCTGAGACTTCAGATTGGGCTTGAATCACACAATCCCAGAATTGCCTGGACTGGAAAAGCCCTTGAAGCTCATGGAGTCCAATCATGAACCCAACACTGACAAGTCCCCCACTAACCCATGTCCCTGAGCACTATGTCTACATGACTCTTCAATCCCTCCAGGGATGGGGACTCCACCACTGCCCTGGGCAACCCCTTCCAATGCCTCAGAACCCTTTCAGAAAAGAAATTCTTCCTCACATCCAATCTCAACTGCCCTGGCCACAACTTGAGGCCATTTCCTCTTGTCCTCTCACTTGTTCCTTGGTTGAACAGACCGAAAAACATAGTAGTTCTGCTTTTATTAAAGTAAATTCCTGTCGGAAGGATTTTGGGCTACAAAGCTCCTTCTGCTTTGCTTCTCTGATCCCTTCCCCCCTCACCTCTCCCTAGTGCCATTGAAAGTAATTTTCCAGGAGGAATTTATTTGAAGATGTTAGTAGCCTAGGTGTTTCTATCTAGCCACCCACTGCTCAGCATCTGCACTTCTCACCATCTTTCAGACAGAAAGACTCTCAGTGTGCTCAGGAGTAACCACAACACTGAATCCTGGGCTTCCAGAGGGTCTTGTCTGTGAAATCCCCACTACAAAAGGGACATAAATCCAGCTTTTCACGCCTGCTGATCCAGAACAATAAACTTTGATTCTATTAAGTGCATTTTACCTACTTTTTTTTCTTTTTAGGGAGAAGGGAATTTTTAACCTTGATCTTTCAGCTCTCCAGTTTAGGATGTATTCCCACGAACAGTTATATTAACACAGCTGAAGGGACAGTGAACAACAGGACCAGGAAGGAGCAGCAGCCAGGCAAGGGTCGCTGGAAGATCACAGGCTGATTTTACAGCAAGAGCTGCATGTCTATCCCATAATTACGACCAAGTAGTGCATTGCTGAACTAGCTGGCTACCTCCTCCACCAGTGCTTTGTGCTCATCATGCTCAGGAATTAAGCCTCCCAAATTCCTTGGAAGCCAAAGCTGGAATAGCCTTTAGGGAAGGGAAAAAAAAATCACACCCAGGTTTCAGCTGGAGAAAATATTCACACAAGCTCAGATAAAAAATGAGTCACTCTTAGCCTGTGCCCTTCTCCTCCCTGCAGATCCTCAGATGTCTTTCTTTGCAGGTTTTCACCCTCCCACCCATCAGCTCCCTGGGGACTTTGCTGGCTGTAGGAGAAGGGCAGATGATCCTCCTGAAGCTCTTTTTCCACCGAGTTGCCTGCAGCTAGCAATCTACCCATCTAAAATGCCAGCTGGTGGGGAGAGGAATCGGGGAAGCCAATAACCAACGAATGTGAAGCAAGTCAACATTGTTTGGAGCTGCAGAGCTGAGTCAGAACGACACGGAAGGTTTCTCAGCAGTAAATGTTACTCCTGAGACTGGAATATAATTAATTCCTGCCTACTCCCTCCTTCTTCCCGGATGCCATCCAGCATGCCAGCAGCACACAGAGGCTTCTGCAAAATCTCACGCTCAGCCCTGCAGATTTCCAGCAGAACCAAAGCAATGGGGATCCTTTGGTTCATTTTAATCTTCATCTCCTTGACTGATCATGGTAAGACCAAGAAAGCCGAGGGTGGTAAATAGAGGTATCTGGGAAGAGGAATAATCTTTCCTCACTGTGTAATCAAATAATAATATTAGAGGTACTGATGGGGGAAGGTGTCCTCAGGTTTCTGGATGAGATAGTGGGTCAAACACTTTGGCAAAGTGCATGATTTATCCCTGGGGGTAATGTAAAAA